TAGCCATCAATGTTGCATAAACTAATTCGCATTCAACCATTGGTTTATTATAAATCTTCGGTTCAAACATTTTACTAACATTCACAGATTCATCAATGATTTCATTTTTTAGGCAAAATGCATTCCGAAAATCATCTGTTGTATTAAACCTATCATAATACACTGATCCAATCTTCCATTCTCTCGTAAATGTGGTATTTATATCATTTGCACATAAAAGTGAGTATTCTATTGATGATTTCTCTGGAAGAACATTTCTAAGAGTGAACATTCGTGCGGAGATTATTCTGTCACCTATCTCATTAATTCTTAAAGATGCTAATGCATCATTAAATCTTACTCCTGAATCTTTTGAAACATCTATCCTCTCTTCCGCAAATTCTTTGATAACTTCCATTGAAGGTCTTCCATCTATATGTGTCACCTCACAATCAACGTTGTTACTATCTATTTCATCATCGAATATTTTGATTATTTGCACTCCTTCTTTGTTAATTACTGAATATAATGAAAGTTGTTGGCTATAAATGAATTTTTGGTAACAGAGTGGAATAAATCTTAGATGAGGATCTTTCAATTCTGCAATTAAATTGTTGACATTCAACTAAATAATATTTAAGGAAGCCGAATTAAAAAATTAATTTTCAAAATTTAATGAAAAGGTACTTGGAAAGAATGTTCATTACCATAAATTGAAACTCTGATGTATAATTCTTTAGTAATAATGAATCTAATTCCTTAATCAAATCAACAGATCTGAACGAATATCCTTGTTTGGGTTCTTCCTTTGCTTGTGATAAATATACGAAAAATCCTTGAAGCGTTTTCTTTATCGTTTCGATCGTCTATTGACAAAAAAAAAAAAAAATCAACGAAATAAAAATTCATGTACTTTTCCATTTAAAGAACACGCACACTAACTTACATTTTCGGCAATCTCCCTGTCATAAGGAAATGCTTCAAAGCATGCCTTCACGTCGGAATAATTTGCGCTAAATTCCGGGTCCCTGTTAGATTGTTCATATCCAGTGGATATTCTCGCACACGCATCATCATTATTTGTGTCACGTGAAAATCCAGATGGTGATGTAATCAACACGAAAATTAATGTAAATATAAATGATTTCATGTTTTATTTTATTCTTGTTTTATTAAATTAATTTTAGGAAACGATAGCAAAACAGGCATGCAATTTATATCTTTTTCTTAACAATGATCTTCTACTCTCATTTTTTTTTCTCGCAACCTGGCTTCATAATGATGTGATCGAAAAACTATTCAAAAATGAAATTTTGAATAAAGCCACACGATAGCTAAGGAAAAGCTTAGTTTGGAAATTTCTTAATCTATTATTATAAGGGCTATCAAGCTCATATTTAATAGTTGAGGTTAGACTCACAAGAAGGAATACAGTCATAATAAGATCATTGATGATTATTTGCTAAGAGAAATGAGGCGGTACCCTGCGCAGCGCAAAAAAAAAAAAAAAAAAAAAAATCACTTAACTCAGCTTTCTATCCGATAAGATTTTAAATAATATCACGGCCACAACGGAAAACGGAAAGGAGACGGATGAAACAAAAGCCATAGTTATGAAAATTCCTGTTGATCGTCGGTGCGTTGCATGAAAGTTTGGTTCATTTTATTTATGAACGCGCTCGAAAACTCAAAAGAATAATCAAAATGGTCTATCCTGATATTTTGGATGAAACTCACAATGTATTAATTAAGCTAGTTTGTTAATTACATTAACAATAAAGCTAAAAGACATATTTTTTTAAATAAAATGCTTATTAAGAAACAAGCAAAACATTTTCTTTTAGAACAAGTTTTATAAAAGTCATATCATTATTTCTTTTCTTATTTGATGTCCTTGTATAATGTGCTGTGCTGTAAACGTAAACTTGTCTCGTTAAATCACATATCATTATTATTATTTTCATTATCATTTTTCAGATACATTTTTGCTTTAATTGATTTTACTTAATTATAAATTTATAGTTACATGTATCATTCCATTTTTGAAATTTTCAATAAAGAAAAGCAAGAAGATGATGAATCGGAAGACGCATGTTGCAAAGGACAATGTATAAAGTTAGCAATGAAAACGATGAACAATGTAAAAATATTTAAATTATTATCGTGAATTAAGAGCCTACCTGAAAGACTTTACCCAGGATCCAAATATAATAAATCAAGATTTGAATCTGCACTGCAACAGAAATAAATGCATCAAAAATCCAGTCAGACAGTGACGTGCATGTGAAACAACTTCTGTCTAATTATATACTAAATAAATCGAATAATTTCTTCTGAAGAAATTTCACGACATAATTAACAAATGTTC